GTGGAGGCGGAGCTTATAAGGCTGAGTTCACCTGAAACTCATCAGACTGAAGAAGTCTCTTGGAGGAGAGACGAAACGTTTCACTAAAGAAGAACCMWYCAGAGGACCTACTGATTTTTTCTTTTTGAATAATCACTGGTATTTTTTGTCACATAGGAATAAATAAATCTGCTTCTGAGCTATTAAAATCCATTACTGTCGCACATAATATCTATAAAGAGTTTTTAACGTGGCTATAATCGTAAAATTATAATAATTTTAAAACTGTGGCATGAAAACTTTTTGTGGTAATGAGGTTTAATATTGATTGTATAATTGTCAGCAGCAGCTTTTACCTGCATCATATAAATACAGCTGAAATGCACCCCTCAGTGGTCCTTTCTCTGTGCAGGCCCATTCATGACGGTTCTGTTTGCCAAGCTGGAGAACATGCTTCAGAACTCGCTTTACGTCAACATCCTTCTCACTGGCATCGTGGCCCAGTTGGCCTGTTACCCCCAGCCTCTCCTGCGCTCCTTCCTTCTCAACACCAACATGGTCTTCCAGCCCAGCGTCAAGTCACTGATCCAGGTACTTCAGCCTCCCGGACAGCAGGGGTCGCTCTTGGGTTCAACTGCAGCACGGTCCTGAGAGAGGAGCAGTGTTACTTCTCCAAGTTGTGACACTTTCTTTTGTCACATTTTTCTACTTGGCACAACAATAATCATACATCTGAGAACATTTTGTTTTTATGATGCTGTGATACTGTTGTCAAAGTAACTGAMCAAATGTTTTTAAAGGCAAAGTATTTTTGAGGATCAGTCAGAACTCTTTCTTTCCTTATTTCTCCTCAGGTTTTAGGTTCTGTGAAGAACCGCATCGAGGCCTTTGCCGCCTCTCATGAAGACTTTCCCTCCATGCTGAGGAAGGCCCAGCAGTACCTGGTGGCTCGAGGCAAAGTGGACTGGACTGACACCCCTGGAGCAGTTCCCCCTCTGCGCCGCTCTGATTCTCTCAGTGAGTATGAAAGGACTGGGTGTGTCTCGTCATGTTTATTTTTGTAGTTTGGTTAAGTGATGCAACAACACATAAGTCACTGTTTTGATCCAAATTCTGCTTAAAAATTACCTTTTTTTAAATATGCTTTATCATTTTATTTTGGCGGGGAGGTATTCATTCAGTAGCTGCATTCCCATTGACCATGAAACTGCGCAAATTAGAAATTCGAAAATAAATTTGCTCAATGGAAACACGTCAATTTAAAAAAAAGTTACGTTTTTTGACAAAATGTTTTTGCGCTAGGATGAGGAGGTATTTTGGCCGTATCGAAATTGGTTTATTTATTTATTTTTTCGCAAAACTGCAATGGAAACACTTTTTTTGCAGCACGGGAGTCACTTGATCAACAACCGGCTGTTTCTACCAGCGAAAGAGACGATGACGAAGGAGATAACAAGACGTAGAAATAGTAGTAATATCACAGAAGTAGTATAAAATAGTAAACTCACCGACTACAATTTCCCAAAAACACAGCATACGTAGCCGCTCCCAAGTAGGGACTTGTCTCTGGAAAGCCTCGATAAAAGACGCCGACGTCTCCTCTGATGATTAGCGCTAGTGTCGTGGTAGCAACATGCTATGTGTTTACATCCATCGCCGCCATGTCTGTAATGACTTATCATGAGAACAAACGTATTCACGCGTGACTTTAACAACATTTCTTACTTAATGGAAACACTGCAGTTGCGAAACTGTGTTTTTTGACATTAACAGAATATCGACAAAATTTTGCTCACATTTGCAGTGGAAACAAAGCTTATGATGTTAATGAGCCTTTTTAAAAACGGTATTACAATATATACACTACAACATTACAATGTTGTCTAGAAAAGTTTGATGTTCTTATTACTGAACATATTAAAGATGTAATAGATACCTTTTGAATTGCATCATGAAACAAAGTAATTAAACAACAGTTAATTATGAACAGTTTGAATAAAAGGTTTCTAACATTAGTGTAAGGTTACAAAGTCAGCATGTCACCTCTATAAGTTATTTTTTCTTATTGGTTTTCCAAAATAATTAGAGGCGGGTCAACATCTTAATTTTAATGAGCGTACAAACTGTGGGCTGGATGGGGGGTCAAGGACTGTACGCTTTTCAAAATAAAAACAGTTCTATGTAATGTCTGCACAGATCAGTCCTTAAATCACAGGTGAAGCTTTCAGAAATGAAGCGAGTTCAGACAGAGCTGAGGCTCGATGCATTGATGTGACAGATGCCTCCTTTCAGTCACTAAACATATTGAGTGGACATAATTAAGTGATTCTCTTTGTGCTCAACACTTTTTAAATTGACATGACCAGTGGTGTCAAAAGGTCATGTCAGGTCACAGTCACTACTAAGCACAAAGTTGCTGTGCCCATATAAAMCAGTTTGTTTTTGTGTTGTCCTGCAAGCAGCGGTCACAGGTTGCCACATGGGCTGCAGCTCCGAGAGGTTTCTTTTTTTTTTCTTTCTGCACATGTTGATCTGCAACTCGTTCTTCATCACTTTTCCCTTCGGTAATAAATGTGGTTATTGTTAGCCCCAGGAGTGGTGTTCTCAATATTAATGTCACCTCGAGCCGAAGCTCCATGAGTTGTTTTTTTAAAACATTGATCAGAGGCTGACACACAGAACTACTGAGCCCGCCAGGGGACATGGGGGATTTTTTTTCTTTTTGTGTTCTCACGCAAAAGTATTGCATTWTGCGTTCCCTCGCAAAAGTCGTTAAACACTGTTGTGCCTGCCGGTTTATTAACAAACTCACATGTTCACCATTAGCGWGTTAGCCTACTGCTTTAATTCAGCTTCAGAATGAATATATCACACAACCACGCATGGACGTATGTCAAATGCTGAAATTTTAACACAGTGCAGCCACGCAACATCAATGTCAATTTCACAAACTTGTGGCGACACTTCCTGTTTTGGTAATCGGATATTTCAAAAATAAAAGTCTGATTTAATTCAGTTCATATACAAATCAAACTTTTGCGTGGGAACGCAAAACAATATGGCAAGGTAACGCAAAAGCATTGCAAGGTAACGCAAAAGTGTTGCGAGGAAACACAAAGGTATTGCGAGGTAACGCAAAGGTATTGCATGGAAACGCAAAAGAAAAAAATCCCCCATATACCCTCGTGGGCTCCGTACAGAACAGTCCGGCTCTGCTGACAGATCAGCACACACATTCAGCCCAGTTGCATATTGTAGCATCACTGTGTCGTCCTTAGGCCTGTCACGATAACAAATTTTGCTGGGTGATTAATTGTCTCACAAATTATTGCAATAAGCAATAATATTGCCTGGTGACCATTTTACAACTAATAATTATAAAAGCGTAATATGAAAGTGTAATAATTCAATAAACTTTCATTTTTAAAAGAATGTTTAACAAAGTGGACTCTCAGTCTCTAACAAAAAATGCACTTGAATAAAAAAAAATAGGGATGTTAACAATTAATCGACTTACGATTAATTGTCGATTAATGGTTTATTAGATTAAAGT